CTAAGCCTTAGTTGTAAGGTTTTTTGTCTTAGCTAAGGAGAAAACTCCTTCCCAAGAACCCTCTAACAGATATCTGCTTACATCTCAAATTCAAGGGCTAAGACTGGATCACCAGCCTTCTCATTCAGTGGGAACCAACACAGAAGGGACTGCCAAGATACTCTACAGGACACAGAGAAAAGCAACTGGGAGACTCTAGGCCTGTAGGCTGAAGAATGAATGCCCCAACGTTGCAGACGAACTTTGGGTAACTGTCCAAGTAGGCAGCTATCTCTGTCATTTCCAGAACCTTTTGGAAATTGCTTACAATGCTCTTCCTGTTTACTTAGATAATACTATATCCTTCTGAGGGCTTTGGTGTAGTTGAAAACTAGATAGTTATAATTTTCCTTGGTTATGATAAAAGATAAATTAGATATGAAACTTTAGACTCACAAATATAGGATAGATAGAATATTTTTTCTTTAATTTTACAAAATACAAATAGAGTAGATATTATAAGTAATTCTTGCTTCATAACTGTTCTATTATATGTAATTTTACTATGTTAAAGTTAAAACCTTCCTTTTTGTTTAGACAGAAAAAGGGAAATGCTGTGGGATAATGCTTTTGTACACTGGTTTAATAAAATGCTGATTGGCCAGTAGCCAGGCAGGAAGTATAGGCAGGGTGAGCAGACTGAAGGAATGTTGGGAAGAGGAAAAACAGAGTCAGGAGTTGCCAGCCAGATGCAGAGGAAGCAAGATGTGAATGTCTAACTTAGAAAAGGTGCCAAGCCATGTGGCTAAACATAAATAAGAATTACTGGTTAATTTAAGTGTAAGAGCTAGTCAGTAATAAGTCTGAGCTAATGGCCGAGCAGTTTTAATTAACATAAGCTTCTGAGTGATTATTTTATAAGCAGCTGTGGTGTCTTTGGTGCTGGGCGAACACAGAAAAACCTTCAGCTACAGTGAGATATCTCTGCTTGCCTTAGACCTATCACAAGTTACAAGGTAAGGGTGTGACACAGAATTAGGAAAGCAGGGCAGGGTGGCTGCCATTTTCCCTGAGGAGCTCCTTCAAGGTTCACAGGAAGGGAATGAGGCCCAGAGACCTTAAGTCCCTCACCCAAAGCCCCATGTGTCTTCAAAAACCCCACCAGAGCCTAGAAAAGCCACTTCACCCAGGAGTGTCTCCACTATGTCCAGCTCTATGACTCCACAGGGCATGAGCATTAACCCAAAACTTAGCCAGAGGTATGGCATGGACAAGGTCAAGGTCCTTCAAAAAGACCCCTCCAGTGCCTCTCACTGGGCCTGCCTACAAAGCCCACAGTAGGGAAAGCACTTTGAGGCACTCACCAAAGCTTGCCAAGCAGGCTAGTGAGAACCCACTGCCCAACAAACTGTATCTCTAGGTTCCTCATGCCTGGCCAAACTGCCTCATTACTCAGAGCTGAACTCACGCTTCTGGGGAGGTCATGTTTTAATCCACCCAGTCTGTGTGCAGCCTCTCGTGGCTCAGGTCTGCTACCAGGAAAGGAAACAGCCAGGCTAGGAATGTGTGGAGGCAGGAACACTGCACAAGCAGCACATCCCATGCCCACCCTGCCCACCACAGCCTTCATCTAGCCAGCCAAGCACACTTCAGAAAGAAGCTGAGATGAGGTCCACGTCCTTGCCTCCAATGGATGAGTATATTTATTAAAAAAAGAAAGAAAGAAAAAAACTTTCACACTGGCTATTTTTGTCTGCTGTGTTCAGACTCTTGGAGAGTGAACAACAGGCAGTTTAACTTCATGGGAGGTACTGGAATAGGTCTGTTGTCAGT